CCGCTATAAGCGTCACAATGCATTACCTTGTTGACTGCTGAGCGCTGAGCACTCGTGCCTTGTTCTCCCGGAACGGTATAGCCTAAATTCATCATGACACGTGTTGAAGCCATCTCCGCATCGCCATTCCATAAATTGCTTCACTACCTCCTCCCCCCTCTTCCACGCCCAGCTCCACTTTTCAACTCTAGCACTGACTTCCCAAGAACGCCTCTAGAAGGTTCAAGGGATTGACCTTCATTCATTGAGCAGCGCCCGAGGGCCAAATCCCTCTCGCCCAGGTGGACGCCCTCATGTCGCCGGCGCCGCTGCCACAGTCCTCGAGCTCCGAAGTGGCTGCCGAAGCGAGTGCAGTCGGCCCCGGGCTGCAGAACGTCCAAGTCACCTCTGGCGGCAAGATATTGCTCGCTGCTCGCGATGTTCACTATCATCAAGTACACATTCATCATGGCGTTGACCTTTCCTCGGTCCTCCAATCAATACCCAACCTTCGAAAAATCCATCACGACATTCTGCGCCGGGCGACGCCCAATACAGGAATTTGGATCCTCGAATGTGAATCCTTTATTCTATGGCTTGATCCCAATGGCGTTCTGAAAATCATTTGGGGATTCGGAATTCGTAAGCTCATTGACAATCCTACCTCCCATTGTCAATGATCTCTAATAACCCTTTGCAGCGGGCGCTGGGAAGACCGTTCTGGCGTACGTGCCCTTTCAAATGATATCCAACCAATCCATCGCTCATTTTCTTAAACAGATCCATCGTGATTAACGCTCTCGAGGAACACGCAAAGGCTTCACAATCCCGGATCGCAATTGCTTACATTTACATACGTTATAGCGACCACACCAAAGCGACCATACGGGGCTTCCTGGAAATACTAGTGAAGCAAACAGTCGAAAGACACCCAAACTGTATGCCCCTCTTCGACGAGCTTTATGCGCGCCATATTCGCGAAGAGACAGAGCCAAAGGAAGACGAGCTCCTTTGTCTGTTGCAGCGGTTCACGGAAACGGCATCGGCAACTTTTTACATCCTCGATGCACTGGACGAGGCACCAATCAACATCCAGCTTGCTCTCCTGAAGAAGCTGGCGACTCTGAATGTTAAGCTCTTCGTGACCTCTAGGCCACTGAGGGCCGTAGAGCCACACTTTCCGGACGCATATTTCTTCGTCATTTCTGCTCGGGAACACGACCTCGACCTACACATCGCCAACCAGATATCCTGTAGTCCACATCTTCATGCCCTCCTCGAGGGAGCAAGTCCATCGTGGAAGGAGGAACTTGTCTACGCTATCAAACACAAATGCGGGGGAATGTGAGCCATCACTTCTTCACACTCGAAAATCTCCAATACTAATCTTTATGTAGGTTTCTTCATGCCTCCCTCCAGCTCGATGTCCTCGGGGAGTGCACAAGCATATATGACATGAAAAGGACACTGGAGGCCTTCCCTGCTCGCATAGAAGATGTCTACGTCCAGACGTGGAACCGCATACTGAACCAGGCTCAGAGCCACGTCTTGTTGGCCAAACGCGTGTTACTTTGGGTTCTCAATGCAACAGGGTTGCTGACTGTGGATCAGCTACGGCGTGCAGTCGCGACATCTCCCGAATCACACAAGTTTCATGAAGAACGACTTGTTCCCGAGGCAATCCTTATGGACGTTTGTCGTGGCCTTGTGACTGTCGATCAGGAGAGCAGACTCGTGCGACTTGTTCGTAAGTTAACTATCTGGTTTCCCCTTAATGACTGACGCATTGACCCACGCTTCGGATAGACGATACAGCCAAAGATGTTTTGGAACCTCTGATCGTGGAGACGTTCCCCCAACCCCATTCCCTGCTCGCTGCAGTGTGTATGTCACGTCTAATTGATTGTGATTTCCAAAATCTTGAGTCTAGGGAGGTTTGCGAAGTGGCTCTGCGGGATGATCCCCTTCTTGCCTACGCCCACAGGGAATGGGCAACCCATGCTCGTAAAGCGTTGCACGTCGCATCTACCAGGGCTCAACTGGCGGGATTCGTTGCAGGATGCTCTGCATTCCCGGTGGTACTTCGCGATGGATTCTGGAACAGGTTCGACTTGCTTGAACCACTCCATGTCGTCGCCTTCTTCGACCTACCGCTTGACTTTGCAGGCCCCGACTACCTTGAAATCCCAAACCTTCCAACATGGGCAGAAGGGACACCTCCCTTGTGTTTGGCGTCCTTCCAAAACTGTTCGGCGGTAGTCCAAGAGCTGCTCCATCTCCCTCTGATCAGGGTCAACGGAACTGACCCAGATGGGTGGACAGCTCTTATGAATGCTGCCCGCTACGGCCACGAAGGACCAGTGAAGCTGCTTCTGGCCCATCCCGATGTTCAAGTCAATTATCAAGACGAGGATGGATGGACGGCGTTGACCTTAGCTATAAGCAAAGGTTATGAAACCATTGTAGCACTCCTCCTCGCCCATCCCCAGATAGATGTCAACCTGGCGAGGATTACCGGATCGACGCCCTTGATGGAGGCCTCGTCGCATGATCGAAGAAGCATAGTTCGACTCCTGCTTGCCCATCCCCAAACCAATGTCAACTTGATGGACGAAAGAGGACTAACAGCGTTGGCATGGGCGTCGCTGAACGGCTCGGTGTATGCCGTGAAACTTCTCCTAACTCACCCTGCGATCAAGGTCAACCTCCCAGACAAGGAAGGATGGACGCCGCTGATTCATACAGCATTTAACGGTCAGGAGCACGTCATCGCCCTCCTCCTCCGCCACCACGAGATCGATGTCAACTGGACCAGTGTTACAGGTTCGACTGCTTTGATGGAGGCTTTACGGTACGACCATGTAGGTTCGGTGGAACGTCTCGCCCTTGATCCCCGGATCCAAGTCAATTTGGTCAATGAAGACGGGTGGACGGCTATGACATGGGCAGCACGGTACGGGCGGGAAGCAGCCTTGTCTGCTTTGCTTAGCGCCCATCCCGATGCTGATGTGGCAACGTCAGACGAGGAAGGGTGGACACTATTGATGAGGGCGTCGCGCTATGGTCATAGGGGCATAGTCGAGTTGCTCCTCGACCGCCCAATTGACGTTAATCAGGCCAACTTCGACGGTGTTACTGCTTTGATGTGGGCATCACGGTTTGGCCACGAAGACACGGTAGAGCGCCTCCTCGTCGATTTACTTATCGATGTGAACTTGGCAGACATGAATGAGTGGACCGCTTTGATATCGGCATCACGGTATGGCCATGAAGGCACAGTCCGCCTCCTCCTCGCCTGCCCCCAGATCGCCGTAAACCTCGCGGACAAGTACGGGATGACAGCCCTGATGTCTGCTTCGCAGAATGGCCGAGAAGAGGTCGTCAAACTCCTCCTCGCACATTCTGAGATCGACACCAACCTGCAGAACAAGTATGGCGGTTGGACGGCGCTGGTCCTAGCTATACGGCACGATCACGAAGGCGTCGCCAGGCTTCTTCTCTCCCATCCTGGTATCGACGCAGACCAAGCCAATGACTACGGGGTAACAGCGTTGCTTTTGGCGGAGCAGTATGGCCGTACGGCCATAGTCAACATGTTGCATCCCCGGCCATTCGCAGGTCGAGCCTGGGAATTATGAACTTGGGAACCTAACTTGTCATGACCAGAATCATATTGGTTTGGGGGTTTTGTAAGGTGATTGTCGTTGCTATAACCCTTTTCTTTTCTTTTACCGTGTACGTAGAGAGATATACGAAGTCACTTCAACCTTGCTTAGCAAAAGAGCTTCCGATCGTCACGCCCGACTCGGAGATAGACAAGAAAGCGGATGTCGAATTCAACAGATGTAGTATAGCGGTAGACGTGAAATGGGTAATGTAAGGGGTAAAATCAAAAAGAAAAGTTGAGAGCAACATATCACAATGCGTGAGTACTGCCAGAGCATTTAAAACAGCCTAAGTAACCCGCAATGCCGCGACCTTGGGATGAAGCAAGGCATGTGCAGGACTTCCAGGTTTGGCACCACCATTCTTTCCCTCCGAGGATTCGGAAAGGTTCAACTGCGCTAGCTGCGTTCCGATGCTATCCTCACGTTTAATACCACGGGAAGGCTTCTTGTTGAGACTCGCAGGCAACGCTGAGAGTGCCATCTCTGAAAATTGCGTCCCAAGGGAAGCTTCTCGCTTGAGAGGTGAGGGTTTGCGCTTCCCATTAGTATTAAGCTCGCCGAGGCCCAAGAACGAGGGTTGGCGGCGCAGAAAAGTAGAAACAAGCTGAAAAACGAGTGAGTGAGTGTTGCATAAAAGTCTCGTCTCGATGAGCTGCCAACCTTTGCACCCTTGGCAGCCTTGCTAGAAGGGACCGCAGCTTCCGATTTCATGTCAACGTCAGCATCTTGGTGAGAACGAAGTTGGCTAGTCTTGGGCTTGGAACTGAAGATAGAAACCTCGATAGGCGCTTCATCCTTCACAATGGCCTTTCGGCGACGGTAGAGACTCGATGGACTTGGCGGCCTTGAGAGGGTGCAACTAGAGATGTGACGTTCTGCCGGCATCACGAACACTAGTGCGTGGAGTAGATGAGCAGGAAGCTCGTGGTGGTAGGACAGAGAGGTCAAGCACCTATAGATAGCTTTCAGATATAGGGCGTGTCGATTAAAGGTGGTGATGTGCGCGTTGCTTGATCGCTGGTTCGTCACGAAAGGTGCTTTGTCCCTCATTGTGGACAATGTTTCTGAGCATTGCAACACAAGGACAAAGTGATAGAAGAAATTGTGGCGTACAGCGCATGGTCCAAGGGCATCGAACACCTACAGTATTTCCCTAACGTCAGACTTTCTTGAGCAACCCGCAGCCATGCTCATAATCATGTCATTTGCTGTGACCACAATCCAGCTACCTTCGCAGGGGCCTTAACTCCTTCCTGAACTCCGCAGCGCCATTTCTTTATCCCCAGAGTGGTCGCATTTTCCTTGAATCTTTCTAGGTTGGTCATAGGTTTTTAAAACCTCACTACCACTATCTCCTTCTTAGCTCAGTTGGTAGAGCGCGTCACTAGTATTCTTCTCCGATGCGTGTGTACATGACGAGGTCAGTCGTTCGAGTCGGCTAGAAGGAATAGCCAACCTTTTTGACAACATCTTGCGCTTCTCTGGCTTTGCTCGAGTTGCTTAGGTCTCGCCCTGAGGGGATGACATGCGAAGAACAAGGATTGTGACGTGTAGGATATGAGTAGCGGGAGGCAAAAAGGCTGTCATCTGGGCCACAAACTGCTTTGACATACTAGTAGCAGACCTGAACGTCACTGGCGACAACCCTGCGCTTCTATTTCTTTTTTTGCTTCAGATGCCACCGCCAGGTTCATAACCCCACTTCAATTCGTCTTGTTGAAGGCACAGGCAAACAGACAACACAAAGCAGATGTTCAGCCCAGTCCAGGTTTCCAACCTACCAATAGTTAACCTTCCTGCAGAGAACTCTCCCTATTTCGCTTCTAGATCTGGAACAATGCAACCCTCCGTTCCGTCTCCAGCCTTCGCTCAAGCCTTGGCCACCCTGTCGCCCCAAGCTTCGCCCCGATCACAGACCATGACTGGAAGACGGTTCTCGTCAACCTTTACGATAGGGACCAGGGGGTCATTGCGAATGATATCGCCGCTGATACGATCGTCGTCCCAGGTGCTCGACCTCAGGACTCTACAACGGAGGTAGAGACAGCACAAAGCCCAGAACCCAACCCCCCGGGGCCTCCAGCGACGTCGATGGACATCAACTCTGAGATACTGCCGGATTCAAAAATAGTGAGTGTTGCGCGGTCATAGCCTCGCTGTTGTGTCTCCTCAAGTCACGACATTGGAACTAACAAATAGTGTTCCCGAAAATCTCCAGGATTCACAACGCATCTTCTCGCGCCCTCAGAGAGCAAAGAAGATAGAGTGCATTGAGAGGAACTCGGCACACTACGCTCACTGTAGAAGGAAGACGAAGCGGGTCGCTGGTATGACACTTTCAGCTGTCTTTGATGTCGATCACGACGGAGGGTGGCGAGAATGTTGCGCCTTCAAGCTTCAAGGGGAGTGCGGTGCAAGGAGAAGCAGGCGGCGAATGCAGCGCCTTCGAAGGGTGGACGCAAGGGAAAGAAGGCGGCTGCCACACCGAATCGCGGAACCGCGCCTTTGCCTGCCCGTGCTCGCAAAGGCTGAATCTGAAAGCCTAGCAAGTCGGAGCGTCGCGATATTCACATACCGCGTGCTTGTAGCTTCGACGGCTTTTGCTTTTCAATCCCGTCCTCTTTGTGTTCAATTAGCCTCTTTGCTGGCCTAATCGCAACTGACCTGACTTACCTTGATGCTCAAAGTACCTCACCGGCGGGAAAACTCGGCTTGTCGAAGACGGGTTCTTAAGGTTTCTCCTGATCGAGATGGCTGCCAGTGGAGTAAAGCAGGCTCTCGCCGCGTGAGGCACATCGGTCGCGGGTCCAGCAGACAAGAGCAGGCGATCGTCAAGGATTGAAAGGGGTGAGGCTCCGTGAGATTAGGGTCACTCCGCTGTTAATGTAGCCCTTGAAATAGGATCTGCATTGATGTGTCGGGATAACCGAGGTCACAAGTCCACTGAGAGTCTCCAAAGGCTGCCAAGCGATAACGGCTCATGCGCAGCAGTAAGGCGGTTCGAGGGTCTTGAACCACCAGGCTGGAGACAAGTCTACGTAAAATCCGGACGCAGGTCAGCCAGAAGTGACAAGGATGTCATAGGAAGGCTCACAAACCACGACGGTTCCGGCATTGTAACCGCACATACTTCCGCCCAACGTGGTTCGATGCAGGGACGCCTAGGGACGCCACGAGCGTCCACAAGCCTCCCAATTCAAATTACTTTGAAGGTTAAATATACATCCGGTGTTGTCAAGCCCGGTGGTGGATGTGGAAACAGATTTGAATTGAACAGTCGTAGCGGGAAGGGATCTGTCAAAGCGAAACGTAGTTATTCGCGAGGAAGGCTTGGGAGATAACAAGAATGCCCTCACCTCCAGCGTGGATGCAAGTGCTACGATCTCGTCGTGGAACGAGTAATCGTGGAGAAAGGCGATGATTCTTGGTTCTTCGCAGCAGAAAAGAAGAGGGGGACGAGTTGCTTGGCAGAGTGGAGGGCTGCTTGGTGAGTGGCGACCTGTGGCACCGACGCCCCTGCTGAAAGATGATCAGTCACGCAAAACTTAGTTCGTTGCGACGCACTGACTACGAAATGAAAGGGATGTAAGTAAGGCGATCTGGTTTGATCGTCGCAGATGGCTTATTTTTGGCAGCATGCATGTCAATATGGTCTTTGGCGGCCTTGTCGTGAGAGGGTTAGAACTCTGGATGTACCAGGCCTGTCGAAGCTGAAGGATCCACTGGCGTTGGCTTCTGTAGCCTTTGTTACAGGGGGCCCCTCGAGATCAGACGTAGAAGTAGTAGCTGTCCAACTTACCAGATTGGAAACCATCGTCCCAAGATCAAGCAAGATCTTCGAGATGGTTCATACTGGTGCAGTGCACATGGCAAAGGCCTTTGCCGCGTCGCCGGTTAGGCGGTTAACCCCGCCTGCCCCCAGAAAACGTGGCATGCCTCTGCAAGACTTCCCAGGTATTTCTCGAGGCTGGATGTCCCTGCTCACTGGAACGAGCGACGAGTGGTAGTGAGACGCCTGGATGTCAAGTCCTACAAGCACCATCTATTTCCCCTGTAACACTGCCCAAGCATGACGTTCTTGTTTGTTGTGAGGCCAGAGACCAAGGAGACGGGCGTCGCCGTGCACAGGAAGTTTATCTGACAGCCCCTCGGCAGTGGCCAAAACGGGTGCCTGGTCTTATGATCTCTGAACGCCATACCACATGGATGCAGGCTAGAGCCGTTCAGGGGTGGTGACGTTTGGAAGTGACAGGGAACTGGAAAGGGCCCGCTGTGAGCACCTACCTGTGCAAGAAGCCATTCATTAGGAGTAAATGAACTTCTATAACTCGACAGAAACAATCCAATACTTGTCAGAAGGGGAGATCTGCGCGAGGAGGCAGTTGGCTGGATACCGGCAGATGCTTGGCAGAGCGGGTGTGCGGGGAAAGATAAAAAGGAAAACCGGATCCACAGCCACAATCAATCCTTCTTCCCTCCCATTTCACATGCCAACTCTCCCGCTCCCCTGAACTTTTTGAATTGAAACCAAGTAATTATTAGTCTTTTGAACCTCGCAGTCACTCGCAAATGTGTACTCACGCTGTCTGGAACTTTCTAGGGCTTATATCTATCCCGGGGCATTACGATCTGGCTTCCTAGACATTTCTTCTGGCTTTTGCAATGATGGAAGCTCTCTTGACCCCTGCGGAATCTGTGGCTTTCCAGCCTTTCTTGTCGTCTGTCGACGATGCACAACCTCCGGCGGACTGGGCTGCCTATGCCTCACAGTTTAACCCCCAGGCCATCCGGAAACATAATGATGACCTCATGCTCGAGTCGGTACCATCGCCGCACGATAATGACCCCTTGACCAAGGCCACCAAGGACCTTATGTCGCTGGACGATGGGATGTGGGGAGGAAGCTCCCAGATGGCTGTAGACCATCCACATCCTCAGCGGCAGCCACACCCGTATTACCATCACCAGGGGCAGCTCTCGCATCATGGGCAGCAGCAACAACACCAGCATCCATATTCAACGTCTGTTCAGTCACCTCAAGCCATGTCGCATTCGACGGCGAACGAGTCCTTTCCATTTCTCAACTCGAGGCCGCACAACGGACAACAGGGGGAGTCTGTGCACCATCAACAGCAGGCGTACCACTACAGCTACCCTAATCAGGGCTACCAGCAGTTCAGTGGCCCTTCAGGGAGCGATACTGGCTATGCAAATTCACATTTACATCCTTCACAACACCAACAGCAACCACACCATTCACCACTCCTACCTCATTCTCATTCTCAATCCTCAATAGCCTCCAGTTCAACAAAACGTTCAACCCGGGCCTCGTCAATATCTCGGACGTCATCCTCCCCTGCAGCTTCTAACCCATCCACATCAAAGCGTCCGGCCCCCGCAAGCAGCCGCTCTTCCACTTCCACTTCCCAGCCATCACCTCATCCTCCAGGCAACAATAAACCCGCTCTTCTGTCACCATCTCAGAAGAAGGCGAACCACATCCAGTCCGAGCAGAAGCGAAGAGCGAATATTCGACGTGGGTACGAAGCACTATGCGAGACGGTGCCCGCTCTCCGTGAAGCTATCAGGGAGGAAGAAGAAGAGGCAAAAGCTATCGCATTGGCTGCTGCAGCTGGGCTACCGAATAAAGGCAAGGCGGCCAAGAAGCGGAGTGGGAAGAGAAAGGAAGGGGAGGAACTTGCAAGGGATAAGATTGACGGGCGGGCTGGTCCTCGGAGTGAAAATGTGGTGTTGTCAAAGAGTACGTCGATCTACCACTCTCGCCCTCCTTTGGCGATGCTGGTGGAACTTCTACTGACACCTTTCACAGCGATTGATTACATCCATGACCTTCTCTCTGATCGAGCGGCGTTGTTGAGCAGGCTACAGCGCGCAAGATCTATGCTTCCACCAGGACATCCAGGATTGGTCCCGCACGGCCCCCCGCTATGGGAACGCGAATGGAAAGGCGGGGAAGGCAAAGAAGGGAATGAGGACCCTGACGATAGTGATGACAACGATGGGGATGAGAATGACGATCTTGCAGAAGCGCCAATCTCGACCCAAGGTACCAAGACCGTGACAAGAGGGAGTCGGAGGAGGGGTAGAGACTCGGATTGAGGTATATGTATTGCCATTCTTGACGATCATCGGCGTCTTTCCATCAGGCCTCTCTCTAGAATCTGATTTCTGTTACCTTTCCTTGTTGTCAGTTCTTCTTCTCCATTGTATTGTTCTTTGCGATCTTCGCTGCCGTTGTCATATTCTGACAGGGAAATCGGCCTTATCGCTGTTGTTTGCCGTCTTTCACCTTTTTTATTCACTGCCATCGTCTTATTTAATTGGTCTCGTCGACGGACACCCGCAATTCTAATCTGTACAACCATGCGCTCTTTCTCCCTTTACCGTACTTTACATTTGGATAATATCCTCTTATACATGTATACGC